GTTAAAAGATGAGTAGAAGTACCACCGCAGTTTGCGATTATTGACATAAATTTAAACATCATCAATAAAATTTAGATAAGAAAAAAATTCTAAGGACGATTATTTTCTATAAATGAGAGGCATAATTCGACGTGACAATAATCTGCACACATTGTTGATTTTTAGAAAATCAACTTGAATGCAGTTTCACAAATTAAAACGAATTTAATAAACAGTAATCCGTTAAAACTCAGACTTTTATAATTACTTTTGTGAGTACAATTTTAAACGCTTGAGTACATTGGAAAAAAACGGAACAAATACAGGCGAGAAACAAAAAAAAATCTGTCCGTAGATCTTAATTTGTAAAAGTATGCACGAGCAAAGTACATTTGTTAGAACTTTGTCCAAACAATTAAAAAAAAATTAATAAAGAAGTGCAGTAGTATTTCAATAATCTACCTGAATCTGAACTCTCTTCAAAGTTTTCATAGTATCGAATCAAAATCCGTTCATTCTTTCAACTTTTCATCTTAAAATGGTAGCAAGAAAATTAACCGGGAAATATTAAATTTTTTTTTCTGCTTCTCATCAAGTCTTCCACTTTAAAACGCACTTACATACATCAAAATATTTTCTAGATACACATGATTTTGATTTATATTATATCTTTTTTAATGTATGTAATACGTACTTGTGTTATATATTTGTTTATATAAAAGATGTATACATATAATATCTGTAACTAAATTAATATGTATGTGTAAATATAATTTGTTAAATAAATATTAAAAACTTGTGTTTTCTAAAACAAAATGTAATTACACGGGAACGATGTGCACATGTTGATAGGTGTGTGTGTGTGTGTTTATTTACTGTTTGTAATACACTTATGTATAGAGAATGATATGTAAATTACACAGATGCAGAATAAAAAATAATAATTGTAGTATGCACATGATTATTATACATATGTAAATGTTTATAAAATGTATCAAACATACATAAATATTTAAAAGTACTTTCATATATGAATGCAAATGTGAATGAATGCTCAGAATTTTATTTATAAACAAGATCAACACCTCATTACTATCTAGCCTACAACAATTAACAAATAATTTGAACATGGATTTCTGTTTAGATAGTCCGTACTTTTGTTGTACGGGATTATTGTCCTATTATTACTCATATTTTCAAAAGATGTACATACATTAAACCTATACTGTTATTTTATTTTTTAGATTTAAATTCAAACAAAAAAATATAGAAGAAATTATTTTTTACAAAATGTCAGCTCCATTTTCTGCTTATTATTTTGTGTTTTAAATTGAAATGCTTACAGAAATGAACTAGATTCAGTGTTTGACCAACAAAATCCACGAACAATGTTTGATGTGTAAATATTGCCTAAGACACCAATAATCTTAACCAAAATAATTTTTTAAAAAGTAAAAAATATTAATCATATAATTTTAGAATTGATTTTTATATAGGTTTTGAGCTTAAGGAACGAAAGCGGCTATTGATGTACATTATGTAATTCCTTTATTATTATAAAAGTTTGCATAAAATTAGGAGAAATCTTGAAATTATAAAATTAGAAGAATTCTTGGAACTAAATGATTTATGGTAGTATTGCTTTCAAAAACATTTATTTTGTTTGTGTAAAATTTTGTACTTTCATACTAGAAAGTGTAAAATTTTGCAAACAGACGGGCAGACGTACAGAAACAAAAGCAACAAAGCCTCATATTTTGTTAGCTCATTAATAAAAGAAAAGTGCTCGTATTCGGAGTTTTATTTGTAATTTCACCGATGAATATTGTTATAAACTGTATCGCTTTCTTGGGGAGCTTTGTATCTTTTATTATTGGAGAGAAAGAGAAAAGAAGTCGAAATTAATAGTGCACCAAGCATAGTTTTCGTGTAAAATTTTTTTTTGAAAAAAATTAAATAGGGATGATTAAATTAAATAGGGATTGGAAGGAATACACTTGAGAAACTTTTAGAAAATTATAGAGCTAATTTTTATGGGGTCGGAAATTAGAATGATTAAATAGTAGGCCGTTTGCAAATTATTAAAGTTTGGAACACTTCGGTCAAAATGAAGATTACCAACATTTAGCTGACTGCCCATTCGTTTGCAAATTATTATGCAATTAGTTTTGATTAGACTTCTGGAAATTGTTCAAACTAAAAGGAGTACAAAAGTAAATTTGAATTTATAAATCATACCTTATCTTTTGGAATTGTTCCAGGCTCTTAAGAAACAGAAGCATAGATTTAAATATGCATGTACGTTCTGTGAGCGTCAAAAAAAATTGCTCAGTAGAATCATTTTGTTTAACGCTTAATATCTTTTATTTTAATTATAAAATTTAAAAATAAATTTATAAAATTAAAAGTTCATTCAATTTCTAACTAAATTCACAAAAAAAAAACAACTTAAATTAATATTTGGTAGGTATGCATTTCTTTTGCTTTAAATACTGCGTTTAATCTCATAGGCATAGATTTAACCAGTGTTTTTGTTAATTCAGAAGGTTCAGCTCTTGGTTGTTACTAATTTCTCGTTTTTTAATGTTCTTATCCAAATAATTCCACAAATGCTCAATTGGGTTAAGGTCTGGGGACAGCAACCATTCTTTGACAAAAAGGCTATTTGTTTCGGTTCAGTTTTTTTTTTTTTGACGTTCACTGTTCTTGTTTCCACATTATTACATTTGTTTTCGCAAATTGAAACTTACACATGCAAAATTTTGTAACTGTTTTTTTTTTATGCCTATATATATGTATTTCAACATAACAAAAATCAAGGCCCAAACCGGACGTTGCTTTTTACTCCCAATTCTTGTCTGTGTTAGAAAATATATAAAATTATATATAAAATTATATACGTATAATTTAGGGTTATTTAAATAAATTTTTAATGAATTTTGAAAATTTTGGCTTATAATGAAATTTAGATTTAATAAATAAAATTCAGTATTTTTAATATTTTCAAAAAAAAAAAAATTAATATTTTTCGAGATAATTGAAGTCAATGAACAGTCTTTTATAGTTCAAATCCAATAAGAAAGTGTGTAATAAAGCTTGTACATATTCTCTCGCTCTCTCAATGTCAAGTCACGAATGTTTTCGCTCTGGCAAACTTATTATATACATACACACTTACATACATGCAATTATTTACGAATGTAAACATGCATACATGAATGTGTAATTGGCATAATATTACACAAGTAAATTTTGTAATGTCGTAACCCGCTGTATACTAAATATATTAAATTTATGTACAATATTTGTGTATGTACATAGAATAATAGGAACTATAACGGCCGAACAATCAAAAATAACAGAGTTAACAACAGTAATGCAAAAAAAAAAAAAATTTCAAAAAATGTCAAAATTTTTTCTCGCGAAAGGGGAAATTTACTTCAACTTCGCTTTACACTTTAATTTAAATTTGATACAAACAAAAATCTGATAGCCTAGTAATTTGATCCAAATTTGTTGCTAAAAAGTCGTAATACTCAAAAAAAAAGAATTATCTGAATACACAGATATGGTTTTAAAATATTAAAAATATAAAAAACATTGGTTTCAAAATAAATTTTATATTCAAAATGCCAGCAAACGTGAACTGAAAGACGAGAGATCAAATTGTGAGTGCTCAGTCCCAGATTTGATCGTAATTTCATGTCGTAATAATGAGTACACAATTTTATTTCATGCAATATATAACGCTAATGTGCATCAATGAAATTCACAAATTGAAGGTATATATACATCATGAATGTATGTATGTGTCTTATCGCATTATCAACAAAAAGTAAAAAAAAAAATTCGCGCTTCCAATTTTTGGTAAAAGAGTTTAGAAAGTATAATAGATATTCGTATAATATAAATATAATACACATAAAGAAATTGAATTTTAAATCTCCATTAAGGTTTAAAACACTTATATAATAGAAATAAGAAAAAATTCCCTATGTACGACAAATATTTGAAACAAAGGTGAATTTTAACAGAATTCTGTAAAAGCAGTCATAAACGTTATCACAACCAACGTTATAGAGACACGCACTATCAGGAAAATTTACATATGACATACATGAAAAGTAAATATCTACACGATAAAACAGCATTTTGTAATAACAACTCCGATTCAATGTTTCCTTAATCTGTAACTGAGATTCTATACACTAAGAAATCGTCTATATAATTAAATCGTCCACGAACTTAAAGCTTTGTTTTGATATGCTTCATAAATTTTCAGGCTTCGAAAATAATACCTTTTGCATGATACTCAAGACAATTCACCTGTTAATAATGAAATATATTCTTAACGTTTTATAGAAATTTATAACTCAGAAAATATATGTAACACATATACCTTTTAATTACTATGAAATTTAGTTTGTAGTATCACTATCACCGGAGTCGAGATGTTCTTAATTTACGAAATGTTTAAGTTCGAAATGTTTAATCTAACAGTATTAAAGAAAACTTGGAAAAGAACCTTTTATATCTTGGATAACAGCAAGTTATCGTCACCTCGTGCAACATCTTTATAAGACAAATAAAAATAGCTTCACTGATATTTAGAAAAATATTATTGCGATCGATACTGCACTGGTCACATCAAATTTTTTTGTTATGCTAACTCACAACATCTCGATTGGGAAATAAGTTTAATTAAAACATAGCCCTAAAAACGATATAAGTACACTACCTGGTAAAAATTTTTATTATTCATTTTATTATTCATTATACTCAAATTAATATGAACACATACAAACTTATTTTGAAAATAGAAAGAAACCCTATTGGGGTCATGAGCAACCTGCATTTATGTATTTTTAATTTTGTGATGTATTCATTCTATCTTCTCTCTCGTTCATTTCTTTTTATATTTCGATATTCTATTTCTACATTCTTTTTATTTTTTAGCTTTATATTTACTTTTTTCCACTTTTTTTCTATTCTTTTTCTTATTGTTGCCTTTTCGACTTTCACGTTATACACGTTATACGATTATTAAGTAGTGTATTGTATACCAAGCAGTAAAGTCTTCAAAAAAAAAAAAAAAGATCCAAAATAAAGAATAATTTTCAAAGAAGAAATTTCCCGATTTCATTATTCCATTAAAGGTATTTATTTTAATAAATATTTTAAAATTTATACTAAGCATAAAAGCATGAATGTACGTACATATGTGTGAATTATTTAAAACTAAAATTTAAACAAAAGAAAAGTGTTCATGAATTGTGTTTAAAAAAAAATTTATTAAAATTTATTAAAATAAAGAAAAAATTATAAACAAAGCAGGAATTAATTAACGTTTTATAACTTTTTTGCCAGAGAATAATAAAAATAGTAATAAATTTCAGAATTCCCCGAAAATGTTTTAAAAGAAAATTGTGCATATATTGTTACATTTCTACATACATACATACATATATAAAATTAAAACAAATGAAATTTTAATGAATCACTATTTTTATCTAATTAAAAAATAAAAACAATTGTAAGAGCATATGATTGTATGTATGTGTTGCCAAAAGACAAAAATATTTTCATTATTTAATAATATTACTGAGCTAAAAGTAAAAAAAACGAAAAAAAAAAAAAGAAATGCTTATCTACCTAGTTTTTATTTTTGTTGATTTGTTGGCATAGATGTTTTTCTCTCTGAGAACTTAATATTTAAGTATGTATATATAGTAGCTCTCTGATATCAAACACACATGTACTCTTGTGTTTTTACATGACCCACACTTAATTGGTAAGCTTGGACATAAAACAAAAAAAAATTTTGGTATTAAAAGGGGAGCTTAGGACTTTGTCAATAAAAATGTATTTATGAAAATACACGTAATCTTATCATAATGACATCACAAAAATGCTTGGGTTTGAATGCCGTTAGAAAAACGAGAAAAAACGAATGCGCAAGTCTATTTTTAGAGAGAGAAAGTACACGTATTGTTTTGTTATGGAAAAAATAACAAGTGTATAATCAGTTTTTTTTTTTTTTAAATATTATGGAAAATATTCACTTATTCTTTTCTTTTTTTTTATTTTTTGTTCCTAAAATCGTTAAAATACAAAGTACATTTTTGTTCTTCAAAAATGTTCATTAGTATAAAAATTACGGCTAAATGAGGAAAAGTCATTTTAAATGAATATCAAACCTTTTCTAATCAAAATAAACATTGATCGGAGAAGCAACAATAAACTTTGTCGAATATACAAAGTTTATTGTTGAATTCTCCAAATATTTGCTAATTGATAATACATGCATAACAGAACGTATATCGTTTTAGTCAGATGGTAATGCTAATAACACTTATTTTTTGTAATATTATGAGCTGTTATTTTTTCCGAAAATAGTTTCTATTGTCAGTTTACAAAAGGAAAGTTTAACAAGTCAGAATTTTGCTTAATTTTATGATTTTTTGTTTTTAATGAGTGAATAAATATAATTATTAGGCATACATTTAAAAATACCTAATTGACATCTTTTCTCATGCTCAATTTGTCAGTCACTTTTCTCATTCACACTTGATCCTAGTTATGACTGCACAAAATGCTATAAATAATGACAAATGTGTACTTCAAAATAAATTTTCTTATTTTTTTAATACATTTTCAAATAATTTCGAAAATAATATTTTTGGTTGCCATGTCCGTTCGTCTGTTGACATAACTTCCAGACTGTTAAAGATAGAAAGATGAAGTTGTGTACAAATAGATTCTTGTAAGGTATAATTTTTTCTTCAATAACTTTGTTTGGTATCTTCGTTGTCTTTCAAGTTAGCTTTATCAAATCATTAAAATATAAATATTATTAGGAATATAAAATGTAAATATTAAAGGAACTTTGGAAATTCTGTTGACCACATTTTATCGGTTGTATCATAAAAAACTCTAGTTGAAATCTTTTGGATTAGGTTTTTCAGATCTACCGTTATCTAACTGGTTGTTCGTTAGTTATATTTTTTGAATTAATTTTTCTGTACACGGCAACTCTAATAGATGTAGAATCTTGTTTATAGAGAATGTATGTTTGTTTATAGAGAAACAAAACAGTTCATAAATATGTAAAAATAAATTTTTTGTTTTAACCTAAATTTTACAAAATATATATTTGGCCCCCTATTTCTTCGACAGTATAAGCTTCACTGAACTTAGCAAACTAGAATGTTGCATTAACTGTTCTCTCTAGAAATAAAAGCTCCATACGTATATTTATATCAATACAAGTTCAAAACTTAGGCTATGATCCATTTTTTTAAAAGTGTTAATATTAAATAATTTACTAACCATAAAATATTTATAATTAATAGATCAAATTCGCTAAGTTCGTATTTTATGTTTATCATTATATTATAGGATTAGAAACCAAAGTACAAAGTTGTAGAGAAAAATATTACGATTTTTGTAGTAAATCTAAATACATTTAAGTTCTGATTTGAACATAAATGAAATGTTTCAACAAAATGACATGAAATTATTTCGCTGAATAAAATTTTTATTCCAAAGGTATCACTTTACACTTGTGCTGTTCCCTGGGGTGTCTATAAAATCTATAATGGGGTATCTGTTACCTAAAACAACACAAACAAGCTCATTTACAATTCTCGATTACAAGTCAGAGTGGTATGTTTGTCAAATGTTTCTTGATATGCATATGCATATGTTTGTACATACCCTCGCTTGTAAATATGTATGTATGTATAATAGCACTGACAAATTTTAGTTGTAAAATGCTTAAGTGATTATTGTTCGTTCATTTTATATATATACATATGTATATAGTTATATATGTACATAATTAGCATAATATCCTTATTATAATAATGTTGCTTGATAATATCGAGCAAATAAAATGATACCCATGCACACATGTACATACATACATATTTATATTGTCAAACAAAAGCAAAAGAAAAATAATTCAAATTTTGAATAAACTGAAAAAAAAGACAAAAATTTTATTACAAATCACATGAATGTTCATAAAGCGCATGACTATTTATGTCATCAAAATAGAATGCACGTGAATACGTACGAATACTAACGACCGACAAAGAAAGTTTTTGATATTATTGTAAACAAAAAAAATTATAAAAACATTTCGTTATTTACGAGTATTTATTTGTTGTTTTGGAAAATTTAAGAGATAGTTTAAAACACACATACATACTTAAAAACATATTGTATAAAAGTATAAACAAGTACAAATTTTGAGCTCAAATTATATAAATAATATGCTCAGACCACATGCAAAATACAGATTTGTATAAATAAAACCACATTTCAATACTACAGACTACACTCACCACTCCGACAAAAGGTCAAAATAACAAATTGTAGCAACAACAACAAAATTTATAAAAAAAACTGGAGAAATGGGCTGAAAAATCCAATTTCAAATGAGTGTCTTGCAATGAATGTAATAATATGTTGATTTTCAAAAACGATACAATTAAAATAAAAAGAACTCTTTAAATCATGACGTAACAAGAGTAAATCACTTGTCCTAGAAACGAGGAAAAAAGTATAAGGAAACAAGATGATCGGATTAAATTAAAACGCTTCCAAAAAATAGTAATTAAACTCATATTAGCTAACCAAGTACAAGCAGAGTTAAACCTTTCAAATCTGTGGCATTCACGATATCGAATGATTATTTGGATGAATATTGCTTATGATAGCTGTCATACAACTTTAAAAAATTTGTTTCATATTTTATATTTACATACAACACAAAACTATAAAATTATCTGACAAATTGCAGGCTAATGGATGCCTTAAAATAGGTTTTAAAAAATTTTTTTATCATATTTCTAAACTTTTTGTTCAAAAACTGCCACATCATTTACGAAGAATGGATAAAATCCGAAACTACTCGCAAAAGCTTTTGCGAAAATTCGTAAATGCAGATAAATAACAATTTTCCTTTTCGTACTGTGACATAACAAAGGCAAAAGTTACAATAATGAAATGGTCGCTGCAATTATTTTAAACATGATTTTTCTCGAATTGTTATCATCGAAGAATTGCCTATCAAAGTAACACTTTCTCAAATCGCACAAATTTATTTTATTTTTCTTTTTGACTAGAAACCGACCCTGATAAAAATTTAAAATAGAAATAGTGCACAAATATACGCATGTACTGTTATTTACGTAATAAGAGATACATAAATACAATATTGTGCAGAAAATTGGAGAGCATGATATTACTACAGTGAAAAATCCAGGTCTAAAATATTAATTTTATAACTTAGACTCTCTTTTTTTTAAATCTTTTTTGTATTTGTTTTCTATAGAAAATATAACAAAACCTGGAAATTTTTCTTGTTTTTTCTATATTCTCACACATAAACAAAATATTCTTCCATAAATATTTTGATAAAATAATTTTATCGACAGGATTGCATACAATAAGAGAAGTATTATAATAGAACAAAATTTTAAACTTCGAATTTTCATCCAAAAGAAACGTAAATAAACTATTCAAAGTAGATGTCCATTTGTGCACTTGTTTTCCGTCAATTTCGACTGAAGCATTTTTGTTTATTGATCAATTTGAGTAGATATGTCAAGTTCAATAAGTGAAACTTTACCACATACCAATTTCACATTTTTAATTGTAAAAACATACCAAATCGGTGAACGGCAACGGCGGACAATATCTATTGTTAACCAAGAACAACAGCAGAACCGCAAAATCAACTGTACATTATTTTGCATATAATGTTAAACACACGTGAAAAAAGATAATGTCGAAAACATCAGCGTTGAGATAGGAAATTAGGTGTTTTCACCATAGGTGATAATTTTGTTTGATTCTGAGCAGATCCATTCTATATGAATTCTAACATTTTGCCGCGACTTTATTTAATTGGCATATTTACGGGAAATGTTGTTCATAAGTCAATAAAACAAGTTTAAATTATGAATGGAATTATGGGTTCGAAAACTGAGCATATCTAAGAAATTAATCAATAGAATTTCATAAAATTTAATATTCGAATCATCTTTATGAACGAAAATAACTAAAAAACTGTTGGTGGAAATTTTCCTCTAGAAAGTGACCTCTTACTAAGAACCAAACCTGTATTTTTGGAAGTACATACATACAT